AAACGTAATATTTGGCCGATTTGAGACGTTTTAGGACTTTTCAACTCGAGACATTCCAGGGTAGTGAATAAATGATATGCAATAAAAGGCAGGTATACTTACAAATTTAGTGCCTACTTTACACCCGCCTATGGAATTTCGATAATATTTCATTAAGATGAAAAGAAAAATCTTCAAACATGCACAAATATACATATTTTTTAGATATATGCAATTTTTCATGAAATTGGATAAAATATGCAAAAAATGCATAGATATGCACTTTGCATATTTTCCACCCTCTACTAATAACCCTTGTACGGATTCATGCTCACGTACTGTCAATTCCTCAATATTTAACTTAGGGGTCAATTCTTCAATAGTCTTCTACTGCAAAGTGTTCCGAACACACACGCATGGTCTTGGTCACCGGTTTCCCCATCAATAATTTCTGCTCCCATGTTTTTCTTTTGTCAATAATTTCCTCCAATCCAAAGCTATTTATAATTTTTACTGTAACTCCACTATTTCTGGCAGGGAAAACATGGAAAAGTAGGTTTCTATCAGTTCCTTTTTTGGATTGGCAACCATAGACCGAACAATTTGTATTATGCTTGTAACGCCGAAGTTTCGTACTTTTGGCTGTGGGTTCATCAGAGACAGATGCCATAATGTAATCAAGATTAACACCACAACTATAACACCTTTCAACTTCCACTCTTACAGAACTTTTCTTAAAACACAGACAAAATCTCAAATCAGTTACAATGCAATACACTTGCTTTCACTAGGAGAGTACTTACTTTCTAGGTTCAATATTTGGACACCAGAGGTCTCACTGGTTTTTGGACTCGCCATTAGCCTCGCGTAGGAAGTTGCCATGCCCTGGGCACTCACTCAAAAACCTAACCGAGAAAAACTGATTTCATAGTCGCCAGAGGCGCTACAGACGATAAAGAGCTGCAGATTAAATCATGAAATAGCCCACTGTAGTAAAATATTATGTGGATGAATGCGATAACGCAAGTCAAATGTCAAATAAATCTTCCCCATTGTTGTTTGTGGGTGTGTCATGAACAAGATGTTGGTCAATGTTGATTATTCGCTATAGTCCAAAGGAAACGGCCTATGCCGATTTTATTTATTTCTGACGATATAATCTGTGATAAGTTGTATGATTTCCTGGCTTCCTGCACATACTGGATTGTGATATGTTTCCCCATGTTCTCTAATACGTAATTTGTGAATATTTTGTTGGGTAAGTCGGAATCACTTTAGCTTACTATTCTGGAGGCATTTTCATCCAGAAATAGATAAATGGAAAACCGGATATTTTTCTCATTAGAGCTAGTGCATAGCATCGGGTTGCTCACAACTGAAACCGGCACTTAATACCTCTGTGTTATGTAGAATTACAGATTAATTTTGTACCGTGAATAGCCGAGTATCTAACTCTTTCTTCTGCTTCCAACTTTTATTCCACTCGGTATAACTTTAACTACGGAACAGGAACAAACTAACTTCTAAATTAACCGCTTGTCAGTGTCATATTTGACAGTAAATAGGGCCCAAATGGGGCTCCCATTTACTGAAATGCCATGAATTTCGATTCCCCATTCCAAACGTAAGTATCCCAGGCCTTTTCCGTTACAATATTTAAACAGAAACTTCTTAAAGTTATTCCTAAAAATGCTCCAAAGATTTTTTTTTCTGTAAAAAGTATTTATATAAACAATAAACAACAAGTAATATATATATTTATATGTAATTTTGTGTAGTTGTGTCATTTGTCTCTATTATCAGCTACCCTTTGCAACAGAATTAAAAATAAGCAAGTGTAGTGGGTTCATAATGCAGGTTTGTTTAAATTCTTTAATTCTCAGCCACCAGGGCGCGCCACTTTATCGACACACTTTTTACAAGAGTAAAAGTCGTTTCTATATAAGCCTTGTTCTATGGAAGTTGCAGCTACCTTCACGCTCCGTTTGCGTTATTCAACATGGCGGTGCTGAGCAAGTCGGCGTGAATTAGTAAGGTTCTTTTTAATCGCCATATTATTTGCACTTTGTTGTACTTGTTGACCTGAAGTGTTACAATGAGAAGTAAAGAAGCACTTGTTCGTCGTTGACGATGGGTAAGTCACAGTAATGTCCATTGATGCCCCAAAACAGTTGTTTAAAGTTTCAGGCCGGTTTTCATTCCCGGTTCATGTTCCATAAATATGCTTATACGTGAAGTCTTTTTATACCGAATGGTATAGATTTCGCCTCAGTAAATCTGTCCGGATAATGGTGGTAATTCTTACTGTTTTTATAGTTTGGACGGTGCCGGCGTTCTTTGTGTCCCAGAATTCCTAAGCCAGGCTTGAATTCATCGAGACAAATTCCTGGACGATCCATAAATTATGCTTAAAAACACAAATTTTCAAGAAATACATTTCAATTGTGAAGCTAAATTTCGAGCAGTGTTCTCAAACTGCACCAAACTTTTTAAGATAATAGAAATTGTTCCCTTGACTACCCAGCATGAAAGGTCAATCTTTAGATGAAAATAAGGGTTAGTTTGTGTCAAGTTGTGTATTCCAAAAGTGTTTGGTTTCCGAAATATTGTCAATCTAATGTTTTCAGAATTATGCCGCGTCTTGTTTTAAATCCTGTCACTCTTAGTTGCCATGACAAAAGTGGCCATTCTTAACAGAGTCAACAGTCAAAAGAAACGCTTACAGCATCAGTTACGTTTTGAAAACAATTAAGAATCATGCCCGGACGCTTAAATTACACAAACGATGATGATTTAAACTTATTTATTATCGTATTATTGAGAATGCGATACAGTTATATCAAGACCCGTTTATTTATTATTAATTATTATATCAATAACACAAACTAGTTTATAGTTAAAGTATAGGGCTGTCTAATTTTTCTGGTTGCCCTTATAAATTGAATATGCACTGTTATTAAAAATGAGACGAATTAGAAAAATTAAAATATAGACGTATTCAAAGTTATTGAAATTTTCTATAATTAGCTCTATAATCTATATCTAAACTAAAAAAAAATTTATAATCTAAACAGCACAACGTTAAGGGTAACTGACAGCTGCAATCATTCCTTTGACATTTGATTGTATTGAAAATGGCTTTCGTAATGACAGCTAAGAGTAACGGTATTTGCAATAAAATGCGAGAAAAGATCCATTTAAAAGCATTAAATTGATAATATTTCGAAATCTAAGCCCGTTCGGAATAGACAACTTAACACAAACTGACCCTTATTTCTAATACTAAATAAGATAAAATTTAAAAAAATAGGTGTTTCCACTTGAAAAAAATTGATTTTGATCGGTTTTTTTCAACGCCTTTTTGAAACTTATTTTTGTAACACTTTGTATTAGTAGTTATTAAAATTTTGTCGAAATTCCACTAACGCAAGTCCTTCTGAACAAGAAATGCGACTCAAAATAAGTAGAACATATTTATTCCCTTATAGAAAATACAAATAATTATTCGAGTGGCTGCATCTGTCGTTTTTTACATAAAATTTGAAATGTATCATAAACGGTTAGACTTAGGTATCGGATATTGTACCGTGGATGGCCGGCTATCAAACTCTTTCTTCAAATTCCAACTTTATTCAACTCGGTATAACTTTAAATACGGAACAGGAACAATTAATGTTAAAATGTAGATAAAAAAGTTGACCTAATAATTTTAGATTAATTTGTGTTAGCCTGCCAACATTTAGGAAAAAAATCAGCCCTTTAAGTCATTTCTAAGAGGAGCTATTTTATTTGGACCCAAACTTTTTTATTTGGACCCATAGTGCGCCGTAAATCCGTTCTAGCACCAATTTGGAAATATTGTTGATTTTGCTTGCTCGCTACAGTAGTTTGCTCTGGCAATGTTGCGTATTTATAAATAGCCAAAGTAAGAACAAGGGTCGTAACATTGAAGAGCACTATATTATTTTTCTTATTCATATTTAATTTCTTACGAGTTATTTATTTGTTTCAGGTAGCGGCAGAGCGTTCGCGGCATATCGAGAAGTAATTACCATCTCAAATATGTGACTTGAATATGAAAGAAAAATGACTTTCAAATAATCGCTTATTTGAGTATCTTATACGTGAGATCTCATTTCGTATCGTCTTTTTTCAACAATGTAGCTAATAAAAATATGTTTTCTGCTGTTTTTTCATTACCATTGGGGGAATTGTTATGTCTCACCACAGCATGATCACACGATCCAACCATCCGTTGGAGATATTTCTATTTAATTTAGTGCTTTTAAAGTAGAATGGTACCTCAGCACCTCTTACTTCAAGATTGTGCATTCCGTTATCTTTGCCCAATCCGCAATTCCTGTACGTTATTGCCTCACATATAAGGTTTACTCGGTGTCTCGCGAGGAGACGTTTTGTTTAAGCGGTGAGCTGAGTATCCGAAATGTTATATTTTTACATCGTTCTAAGTAACAAATCTATAAATAGAATAATATCAGAAACTTTCAGCTATGCCTTCTTCGTATCCAGTTTGACATTCGCATTCAATTCGCCAGTAGTGTGCCGAGTTTTTTTAACAATTTTATTTTGCACATCTAAACCATCTTGGATAATCTGCAAATTCCAGATTGTATAGATCTAGCTGTGACTTTGTAATTAGAATTAAAATCAAATCCTGGGTTCTTCAGTCATTTATTGTCTATTTATCAATTAAAAAAACGTTTCGGTGTTTTCCACCATCATCAGTTTCACTAAAATAAC